ATGTAAATGAAACAACGTTACTCATGTAGGCTGGGATGTAATAAAGAAAAGGGCCCCTTCCAGCATCTCCTGCGCTTGCCTCTTTGTGCTACTGCCTGATGTTGGTTGTGCTGCCTGAGGCACAGCTGCTATAATAGACTCCAGCTCTGGGTTTGTCCTGGAGACCTGTTATTTTAGGCTGTTTGCAGACTGTGTATAATTGAAAAGTTAGCTTTACAATCAGGACACTAATACGTGTTTTAAAAAGAGTTACATTATGCAGAAATCATCCAGAAGATGAAAATCAACAAGGTAAATGGATCTTCCTTCAATGTGAAAACATTGGGGATTTCTACTTGAATACATTTTAGGCATGTGTTACGTGGAAGTGTGTTCCCCTCTCTTTATAGTTAAAGCTTCCAGGGCTCAGAGATGGCAATTTACATGGCTGCAAACCCAGAAATGTACTGAGATATATGTTTTTAAAATAGCACAGTAATGAATTTCAGATACTCTTAACCTGGAAAACAAGAACTAAGTGCAGCTTTGGTGATGCTTGCATTTTGGAAGCATGTAGTTGGTCCATTGTGGAAAACCAGCTGAATGACAGCAGGACAATAATGGCACCATGGAGTCCTACTCTAATGAAAACCTACTGGATAATCTCCATCCTTGAGTTGGCATTAGAGAGAGAAGGTCATTGTGATAATTTTTTTTTGTTCCAGAATCAATGTCTCTCGCATTGATGCAGACTTCGCATTAGCTTTGGGGTGCATGCTTATGTTTGACGAACAGCAGTAGACTATTGTCGTCTGGCAGCCTATGGTTCTGTGTAAACTCATGCTTTTTTATTAAAGGCCATAATTTCAAAAGAAGTTAACATCTACATTTCTCAGTAAAGACAATGCTTATGGCTGCTGAACCTGTCTAAAAACTAGCCACTTACCTACGTGCCCTAAAAGAAACCAAACATATTTTTGAAAACCTGACTTCCAAGTGTAAATGATAATGTAAGTTGAAAAGCAGGCTCTTAAAACATTGCAGGGGAATAACTGTGTAATTCCTTGACCAGTGTTTAATGCTAGGATTTTTTCCTGATCAATAGAAATAAGAATAGTGTTTCTTTACTTAGCACAGAACATGCCTTGTAGTCTAATGCACAAACAAAATGTTTCTTTTTCAGGTATTATTCCCCTGGATATTCCGAGATACTTCTGGA